ATGAATAAGCTCAATCAATCAACAGCTACTAAATCAAGATTACCTTTTAACTCCCACAAATTAACCCCATTTAAGCATAACCAACATTCCACAGAATACATAATACACAACCAATTTCAGCTCAAAAATTTACCAAAACACAAGATAAAACTAGATCAAGAACTCACTGCCATTTCAAAAGGGTCTGCAAGTTAACAGCAGCTTAGAGAGAAAAATTCAGCTAAAATGAAAAAAATGGGAGCTTTCCAAGATATCTTCTTTCCTCCTCCTCCTCCTTGTTATGCACACAGTGTGGGGCCAACTCACAGAAAGAGAGAGAAAGAGAAAATTAGGGGTAGGATGACCGGATGACTGGCGTCACCAGTAACATTTCATATCCAACATACTTTTCAACATTACCAACGTCAAAGAAATAACAATCTCGATATAAAATGCATTCGCCATCATATCATATCATATTATCTCTTAAAATAATTTGATATTACAATCAATTTAATCGCACCTTAACTTCGTTATTTGAGTGTGGATTAAATTTATGACTCATACACATAACACGTTCTTTAAGAATTTATATAGTAAAAGAAGAATAACTTCGTCAATTTACTTTTCAAGAAACTTTTTTAAATAAAATTACATAATTATTTAAAATAAAATGATCGACTAATATGAGACGGAACGAATATAATTAAAAAGGACACCTTTTTGTGAAGCACATGCAGTTAGCCGGTCAATAGTAGGTTTGTGAATATGTTGGCATTTTAGACAGTGTAATATGTAACCAACATGCCTAATCTGTTATTCAATTTATTTTTTTAAAATTAAAAAAAAAAAACATGTTGCAGTCAATAATAAATTATAGTGTTAATATTGTTTTAAAAATATATTTTTTTTATAATACCAAAAAATAAAATAGGAACAAAAGAAAATCTAGAAGCATAAGAATAGGATTATAATGTCAGAAGGGTAGGATCAGTCAAATCTATTACTTTATATAATCATTAAATATTACTAATTATGACAGTAAGCAGTAGCTATCTTTGCCTTTTCTGTCAGAACCTAATTTTTTTTCTCAGTTATTGTCACCTTCCATTATCGATACAGATATTAGATAACTTTATCGAAACTTAAATAAATGAAAAGAATTCGCGTCGAGAGCGAACCTAGTATTGTAATTGCAGCATATTAAGAGTCTTGGTAACTTTTGATGTAAAAACCACACTTAAATCGTATCATTATTTTTTGTGTGAATTTTCTGCAATAAATGTGTATCGAAATATACCTCAACTATCAATTGATCACTTTCGATAGTAAAAGTGGACGATCGAAAATTTATATGTGTTTTGATAAGGATTCGGTGATAGGATATGTAGGAAACTCACGCACCTCATAATTCAGATATGAAACTCAAAAAACGAAGATACTGTGTTTATGACCTAAAATCATATATCGAACTCAAAGTTATGACTACAATAGATAATAAAGCTCATTTGCAAAGTCTATTAAACTGAGAAATGAGAATTCACTGTGTCATAGCCAGCTCCTCAAATAGTGAAGAAAAAGAGAGATCTCATTGATGCAATACAACAGAAAATTTCTGCAATGTTTAGCTACAAGCAGAGAACAAAAAAATGAATATATGTTCTAGTTGTCACAAGAATAGAACACGGAATAAACAACGATAACGAAAGATCAGATGAATTGCTTCAGAAACTCAGTAGCGACAAGCCTCCCTCGCGTATTCACTGATAGTTTCAGTTCACTGATTTCCTTATCAATATCCTGCAATTTCACAAAAGAAACAGATGGTTTACAGTTTTATATAGCTTCTCTTTGAAACTAATAAGGCAGCAAATCCTGTCCTCATTTCCACCGGGAACTATACATGTATTTTTTCGAGGAAGTATCATTTATACTAGATTGTTTCCAGTCTAACCTAAGGCAAACGTTAGTGACTGATTCCATGGCTCGAGGTCTCACTGCATCTAAGACACCCCCTTGCATCTGATAATAGAGGCAAATACCCTTTGGCAAATCATTTTTACTAACTTCACCAATCTTTCCACAGGCTCAAACTATTTCAAAAAGTTCGTAAGTGATTGATGCAGAGGTCTCACTGCTACTTCATCGTTGGGCCTAAGGGGGTACGAGTGGGGATTAATAATTGTACCTCCATGAATTGCACTATGAAATCAATAAGCTTCTGCTTCTGCATGTCTTCACAATGATAATTTGTAATGAGAAAACTAATGTCGTAGCCCTGAAATACAACGCCCAGCAAAATTCAGATGATTAAAAGTAGGTCAAGAAACAGTCAAGTTATTCATCTTCCTTGATATCGAAAATATTCTCAGCTTATGTCTTAAACATACATATCTGATTCAGTGTCAGCTAATAAACTCACAGGCTTTAGGCTTAGTTTCTACTTTATTTTACAAGGAAAAACTTGAGTACATCGAAAGGTGATTATTCTCCAAACGTTGCTACTCTCTATCTAGGACTAATATATAAATACAGATAAAAACTACACTTTTTTATGTTATCAACCAAGGCTGCAAGGCAATCACATGGAAGTTGCAGACAAATCCGATTATAAACAAATGGTAGGCTAATGTCTGTGTGCACTCTACTCTCCCAGTGCCCAGACGTTGTTGTTGTTGTTGTTGGTAAGTAAAAGCAGAGAGAACGAGAGAGAGAGGAAGGCAAAAAAGACGGGAAGTGAATTGGTCATTCAAGTTGTCTCAAACATTACATAATTTTAGCACACAGAATTATAGAACACGCCAAAGCGAGGAATCAGTTACAAGGAGTTGAAAGGAAAGAATTACAAACCTGAACCGGCTTTCTCCTCAACACCTGAAACGCTTCAGCTCTCATAGACAAAAATCTAAGGAACTTCTTTGTTAGTATATTTTCAAGTTCATCTGACTGTTTCACCTGCACAGCAACAATAGCATATGAAGAGCTTAAGCTTTTTCTTTCCGAGTGATTTTCAAAATCCAGAATCTTAACGTTCCTTGCAAATTTTATTTTTCTTGTAGGCAAATCCCAAGTTTTGTTTTACCATTTCATTTGAAATACAACACACTAATGATTTGATCTCTATACCAGTCTGTTGCGTATGGTACTACAAAGAAAGATCTCGACTACTAATGAATACTTAGCCAACGGCCTTTAGCATGGAGAAGCTGATGTATAACTAGAGAATTATAGTTTATAAGAACGAAAGCAGAAATGAGAAAATTATGCACATATTTTTAGACAACATGCACCATAATTTGTAGCTGAGTTTCTCTTTATATATAGGAATATAAGAATCAACGTATGTGAATAGCAAAGCAAAGCGAACCTACCTTTAGACTTATTCTTAGGGAATTAATAGATGTTTCAATCAAGCACTTTTCAGCCTCATTTCTACAAATCGTAATCTGTGAATTGGTAAATGGGAAAGATTGAATAGATCGACTTAAGACATGCAGCTAATAAGAAATATTTGGGACTCAAATTCTAAAGTAAAGACAGTACTAATAAGAGCATTAGAGGCATAGTTCAGAACTTGTACATAAAGGGTTGGAAGAAAATGAATAACAATTAATCAGAAACTTTCAAGTTACGCTAAATCTGAAATTATCATGGCAGAAACTGGTAATTTATAATAAAGAAGCATACCGACCAACAATTGCGCTTGCGCTAGTAGAAAACAAAAATGAAAACTCATCCTTATACACCTAAAGAGCAGGACAGATAACTAAGTTCTTTGGCACCTTAAATTATTGATTATTTTTTCCTAACTAGTTATGGAGAACATGTTAACCATCAAGATAAAAAATAAACATATAACTTCTTCTAACGGAAAGTATCATGGACTAAATTTGCATCATTTTTGACGCTAGATGACCTAAATATAAGACTAGTTCGAGTAACCAACCAACTAGGACAGAAACTCATAGCGAAGTTAGCTGGCCTAATCTAATGCTAGCTAGTGCCCCCCAACCAATTTGGACAGCTTGTTACTGTGTTACATCATTAAAGCAACTCATCGACAATGTGCTGGCAGCTAAATTAACAACTCGTGAGCAGGTTTTTGACAAATAGATAATCGTGAGAGAAAAATCATATTATTCTAAAAGCAAGAACTCTCTACACACTTCATAAATATCATGAACAGAATAACACACAATCACTAGTTTAAGAAACCTTCAGTGCATATATAAAGCGAGTCAATAATAACATGTAATTTAGATTGGCAATGATTGTACTGAGAGCAGATGAGCAAACTATGGGAACATGAAAGTCTGTCGAGCAGAGATCTTCAAAAATAAAGATCAAAGTTAAGAATATAAAACAGTTCTTACAGGATTAAGAAGAAGTTCTGGGCTTGTCCTGTAGAACATACCAAATGAGAAAAACATTATTATTCTGATCTACACACTTTGCAGGTAACAAATAAAAGGGAGCAATGAGTCAACGTGTGTTGTAAGATTTTTCTTATTTTATCAATGCTGCACGTCGATTCCTCTAACCCATAAAAAGCATTCAGTATAAGTTTCTCTGCGTAAAGAGATGAGAACTCAACAATAGCATTTTAGTAAAATATTAAGTTCTGCTGCAGAAAGTGATATGTGTATGCAAGTCAAAAGTTAATGTTTTAGGATCCAGTCATACTATATGTAAAAAGAATACACATGAAATTCTTCTTGATTATAGGAATCCACACGCTGTGAAGACATTTGATGAATTACAGAAGAGAAAAATTATGTAATGCTAACCGACATCATTAACTTCGAGTAAAATGAGACAGCAGCATGAAGTCATACTTTAATTCAACCTCTGGTTTGTTATGCCTCTCTACTTCTTGGCATGGGAAATTCTGTAACCAGCCAACAACCATGAGAAAAGGAATGTTAAGACAGGTATAGAGTAACCAATACATCATATTTACTGAATAAATGGTTGAAGGGGCTTAAAAGTCAAAGCTAACACTTCACCGCATGACTAACAGCAAATTATTTTTTCAGATATATCAAGATATGTCAAATGCAACAAACTAATTGACTGAACATAGAACAAATGGTGGCTGAAATAACACACACTGACAACTACTCCTCAATTCCAAGCTAGTCGGCTGAGCGAATAACATATGATTAAAGAAGCATAACAATATGCAGAGAAGGCAATGGAGCAAATCATAATAATAATATTACAATGGAATGCAGATGTCAGACTACAGTTTCTTTTTGTTGGGGGGGGGGGGTGGAGAAGAGTCGAAAGTGCTGATAACATGCTGCATATGGACTCTCTAATCAAAGCATATATGACTGCCGGAATTAAAACTAATAAGTGTAAACAGAATGACCTAGATGCATGGGAACTCAACTTGCTTCTCGAATCATCCAAAATATCATAGCGTTATGCTTTAAATTGTCTCAAACTACCAAACTTCGTTAATGTCTTGGTGTACAAACCTCAGGCCAATGACAATGCAAGTCAAACACAACAACTAAAAGGACTCAACTAAGTATTTAGTTTTCTTTTACAGTACTGCAAAAATCTCTAATGATATTTAACATGTAGAATGCTACATACCTGAAGACACATTGCTGCCTCAAGCGTATTTCTTATGCATGTCAGATACAATCGCAACGGATTTGCCTAGAAATAAATCAAAACAATAACTGCTCAGCATTTTGCAGTAAGTACCCCCCCCCCCACCCCACCCTAGCCACTCAAACACACACATAATAAAATTACATTTATAAACAACCAAACACAAACATTGCTGCCTGGAGCGTGTTTCTTTTGCACGTCACAATGCAAAGGATTTGCCTATAAATTTATCAAAACAATAATTGCTCAGCATGTAACCCCTCCCAACACACACATAAGAAAAAACACTAACATGGCCCCAGTAGTCCCACAAAGTAGGGTATGGGAAGGTTAAAGTGTATGCAAACCTTACACACGCAAAAAAAATGATCACACTTTTACACAACCAAACCCACAGATTGCTGCCTCAAGCTTGTTTCTTATGCATTTCAGACACAATCATAATGGATTTTCCTTCAAATTCATCAAAACTACAACTTCTCAGCATTTTACACCATGTAAACCCCCCACCCCACCCCACACAGAGTCCCACGAAAAGGGGTTCAGGGAGGCTAAAGTATACACAAACCTTACGCACGCACATAAAAAAAGATCACATTTTTAACCAACCATACCCCTTTCAGAAATCATTCCATCTAAAATCTCATTCATTTCATAATTCTTAAGATCCCCCACCCCCCAAACTTTCACCATATACATAGTAATAAGTGCACAACAGTAATATAAGTTCACTAATATATTCTACTACAAACAAACATACCCCGCGCAATCTCTCACAAGTGAGGTCAGCTCAAAACTGCACATAAACATTCTGAAACTACAAAAATATAAAATCTTGGATCTAAACAAGAATCAATTCAAACACATCTCAACATAATCAAATCACTTAATACCCTTATTTTTTTTCGAAATTCAAAATGACTCAAATACTTACCATTAAACGATTGTTTTTCTTGATTTTCCCTTTGAAATTGAATACAATATTAATCCGATCGAAGTTTTAGCTGAATACAGGGTGCACGTTAAGTTAAATACTGCTAAAATGCGCCCAAAAAAAATTATAAAAAAAAAATCCGACCTACCGGATTCGAACCAGTTGACCTAAGGATTAATCTGTGGGTTTTATTTGACCCGACTACAGTCCTCCGCTCTACCAACTGAGCTAAGGTCGGTTTGATGATAAATAATTGATTACAAATTTTTTTATAGATACATACACTCAGAGCTCATTTAGTTGCTCGTTTAGTTGGAGAACAAGTTATCTCGAGACTAGTCAGGCTCTCCATTTAGAGTTTTTAAGTTCGCGTTAATTTATCAGGTATGTTTTCCATTGTTCTTGGTCATGCAAGGATGTCTAGCTTATAATGAACACCCTCAGATAGAAAATTTTTTTGTCTTTAATCGAACATCTCGGATTTCAAATTAGAAAAAAATCTAGATAGGAAACACTTTCCTAAGGATTTCTTATATAAGCTAGAACGACCCTCACAAATTACGAGTACTAATTTGTTAAGAATTAATTTGATTGAAAACATCGTACACGATGTAATTCCAAAATTCCAATCGATCCCAAAAGCGGCTACGAGAGCAATTACCCTTCTAAGCTTAACACGGATTACGTCCTTCTTCTGTCATCGGGGATGGGTAAGTGAGATCTGAAAAAGATAAAATATACGAAGACTTTACCTTTACCTTTTGAGGATAGAGAGGTGGTTTGCGGTAGACCACTGGTGGGTAAGTGAAAAAGAAAAGCTTAAACATCAACTTGATCCATTAAACTTGTAGATAAAAAATGGTTCAAAAAGGAACATGATTCCACCAAATCTAAGTAACTTAAACAATGTCAGTTTATAAAACTCAAGTAAACCTTGACTCAACAAAGGGGAAAAAGTTGGAACATACAAAGTATCCTTTACTATTCATCTTTACTAATGTATTGAGATTAGAATTTAGAGGACTCCAAAGAAGGGATTTTTAATAGCATTGTTCAACTCAGTTCCAGCTGAGTTAAGCACCGCGATGTCCACCTTTTCTCTTGGCAGGTACAAGAATTCACCTCCTTCAACTTTCTCAAATCCACAGTGCTCAAGAAACTCGATGCCTCCTTGCAGCTTGCCAATTCTATCCTGAAAAAACGTCAAAAGAGGATGGTGTGTTATAGTTCCCTGAGTCTGTAAATCGTTTTAAACATTCTACGTATTGTTTAAAACATCTGAATATTGGCTATTGCTGCTACTGCCACCAGCTTTATGAGCTCTAGACCACCTTCTTCAGCCAGGGACTGAGAACTAGATGGGATGGCAAAAATTATACAACCTTATCACCCACCGTCACTCAGAAACTATAAAATGAAAGAAACAGAGGGCAGAATGTTCCCTTTTTTCATTTTTTGACAAGTAGGGAAGCAAAAGAAATTGGGAATTGGTACACTCCTTTGCATAAAGAATTGGAGGTAAGGACCCTAAATCGTACTGCATTTTGGCATGCAAAAATAATTGACTAAGCAAATAATCAAAAGTATATAAACCTAACTCACCCCCTATTTTCAGAAATTGAATGAAGCTAACCAACTAACATAGGCTATAAAAGCAAGGACTAAAGGAGCGTTTCTCCAGTAGAATTTCAGAGTTCAGAAATAACTAAAGAGAAAAAAATAGAGGCATAACAAATTTCATTAACGACGTCTCACCTGAAAAGCAGCATTACTAAGTCTAATCTTGCGGAATTTCTCCTCATTGGGATTTGTAGCGACATTCTTTGCGTAAGTTAAAAGTGTGTTGAAAGCGGTCTTGACTTTAGCCTCGTCGTCCTGGATCATAAGAGGAAAATCAACAAAGAATCAGTTCACCATCAATGAAGTTAGAATAGCATCTATTCATATCTAAAACCACCGAAGGAATGTAGTATGTCAATCATAGGCTAGTTCCTTGGAATTATTGTTGAGTACTTTTTAAAAGAAAAGCTTCCTAATGTATACACTGAAGAAAGAAAGAGAAAGAAAGGAAAAGAAGCATCCATTCATTATCTTATGTGTTGAGGAAGCGAACAACTTGATGTGAATGGCCAATTATGTCCTTTGATTTCTACTCTTTTGAGTTTGAAATTGAGGACGGAAGAAAAAGTAAACTTCGTTTTGTTTTTAAATAAAAGGTAAGGTATTGGCACCTAGAACCACCTCTCAGTTCCGAAGCTCAAAATTGCAAGAAAGTACTCTTGAGGATCCAAAACAACTGAATGATTACCTTGTGTGTCTGTTTAAGAGTTCGCAGGCACTCTCTCATCCGCTCTGCCTTTGTAGCTGGTCTGACAGGCAAAAAAGAGCTCTACCAAAAATACATACAAAAAGTTTGAGTTGGACAAGATATGTCCAAATGTCACAAATAACCAGAGTTTTTGAATAAATAAACACCTTTTTTTCCTCCACAACAGGTGTAGAAGGTTTGGGAGAAGCAGGATCCTCTGCTGGCAAACCGAGCTTCCTTCTTCTTTCTGCCTGTGAAAGTAAACACAATTGTTTCAATATGACAAAAGTAGAAGCAGGTAAACTATGATGTGAGGATTGCACTTAAGTGATCCAGATCATGAGTTATAATTTGGTGCAGAAATTAAAGATCATTTGAATTAGCGACATTGATTAGACGTTGACTGCTGAAATAAACTCTCTGATATGCATTATATACGCACATATTCTGGAATATACTTATATGTGTGCCAGATTCATTGATTAGACGTTGACTGCTGAAATAAACTCTTTGATATGCATTATATACGCACATATTCTGGAATCTACTTGTATGTGTGCCAGATTCTTGTTACTTATTTTTATTGAGAAGGAGACTCTTGTTAATTCCAAAAGCAGAAAAATTCAGGAATCAAAAGGAAAAGAAATTTTAGCATCAACCCAGAAGAACCTAATAAGGTCACCATAGCTATAAATTAGACAGTAACAATAGTACTGTATTTAAGTGAAATCAAATATATTGACAAAGGGAGTTCTATACATTACCATCAAGCACGCTAGATATAGAAGGGTTCACGAAATTTCATGATAGATTTGGAGTTCCTGACCTTATCTTCTTCCAGCTTCTGACGAATTTTCTCCCTAGCTCTTTGTTCTTCCGCTTTTTCAGCCTTGCGCAATGCTATTATACTATACAGCAAGCGCAAAAAATTTCAATTATATTAGCAGAAATCATTGAAGGTGAAAACAGAAAGAGTAGCAAAGTTTAAGTCTTACCGTTTTCTTTCGTTATCTTCCTCAATACGTTTTGCTTCCAGGAGTTCCTTACCAATTCTAATTCTTTCCTGAGCAGAAGGAAAAACGACTTCACTAACATATTCAACTAGATTGATAACAAGTCAAAACATAAAATGCAGTTAACTATTAATACAACCAATCAACCATCACTGGTTTCAGAATGTAATTCAACAATAATATTCAATTGACTTTCATTGATGCAAATTATCGTCAAAATCTAAATCAAGCGTTACCTTTTCTCTCTCTCTTTCCCTTTGTCTCTCTTCCTCTTCTTTCTTTTTACGAGCACGCTCCCTAGAAGTCATTGAAACATTAAAAAATAAGCAATCATACTGTAAGATAAAAGATGCATTTGTCAGAAACTATTCTGATACACAATGCACAAAACAAATGAAATTATTTAAAAGATTAAACTAGACATCTCTGGAATCAAACCACATACTTGTCCCAAACGATGTTCAGCTACTCAGGAATCACAGAGGATAATTTAGCAGCAAGAATTTACCTCAACTCTAGTTGTTTTATCTTTATTTCCTCTGGAGTAAGAGAAGGCCTTGGTGCCTCACCTTTCTTGGCACTGGCAGGTACCTAGGTAAATTTTAATAATCACTGAATTATCGAAGCAAATCATAAATGCCACATTAAAACATCATTATAAAACTCATTAGGGAACAGTAACCACAACATATAATTAGCTAGTGAACTAAGAAATCTAATGCAGAAATCTGAAATTTCCATACCATTGGTGTTTCATCTATGTCTGGGTCACTTTCATGCTCTACAACCCAATTTACAGCAGCCTCCAAGCTGGCATTGCCTGTATCCAAAATTCACAGGCATGAACAATTAAATGCCTTGAATTTTAATATATGAAACAGAGAGGAACCTCGCGCAGGCAACAATGTGGTCAAAAGTCACAATACAGAATTGGGAGATCGACATCATAATAGAATTGGGATTCAGCTCCCACCCTCCCCCTTCCCCCTTTCTTGAGTATTAACAGGCTAAGCTTTCTCAGCTCAGTGCAGTACTACAAAATGGAAGTTGGTTTGGCTGAGAATGGACCATTTAGGAGCTCTAGAGATCTATTTCTATATGTATTCAAGAGTCTTGATTTTTTTAAAAAAATATTACATCGGTCACCTGAATGCATCATAGATGGAACTTTTTTTTTGGATATTTTCTCATCTCCAATAGATGTAGGGACAATCATAAGGATGACGATTCTCATCCACAAAAATACTCACCAGAAAAGTGGAGTGCCCGGATAGCCCTAGCTTTGGAAAATCCCATTGTCTCAAGTTCCGATAGCAGATTTTGGTCAACTTCGGGAACAACCATTTCTGGCCAAAAAAAGGTATATTAGTACCAATGTATCCATATAAACAATAAAAATACAGGATTGATGAGATATTTATGCCTTATTTGACCAAATATTTAGCTGTAAATTTTGGGTTTCAAAGTTCTTCCCTATTAGAGTTGGATCATAAGCACCTTATACTTGCAAATTCTAGATCTACATAAAGAGCTTGTTTGATGAATCAATGAGGCAAACATACGTAAACCCCCCTCCATTCTGACTTGTCTAGATGTTGTAATTCCTCTCAAATGTTTATAGTACTTCTATCTACCCAACCATCCCCCACCCCTGGTCCTCAATATTGATAGTCCAAGGGTATTTTATCCATCTAAACTAGATCATAAAATAAAACTACTGAAAAAAGGAACATTCTTTTCAAAAGGGAAGTGGAATTTTCAGTAGATAAATCTTTATTTCCTCATA